GAGCAACAATTAAAGTATTTGGGGATAGAAGTTTGGCAGTAGTCTACGCTGATCTGTGGAATATCATCCCCTGATTTTTTTTCTAATAGATCTTGGAAGTAAGAAAGTAGAATCTCTTAAATGAGTTAAATATGAGAGAAGCAGGACTCACCCAGAAACCCAACCCATGGAAAAAACTCGTATCAGAATAACTGAGACGAGCTGATTCTGACCCCTTGATGCTGGGGTATTAGCTACAGACAGGCTCAGCTAGCACCTAAGGCTTTTGAAACAGAATACCAAGGCTGTTCAAATTGATGGTGATTCAGACACACATCAATGAGCTCTAATCATATTCACCAGGTGCAGAAACCCACCAGCCATCAGCTGACAAGGACCTTAACATGTCCTGTGCCTTACCTGCAAGAAGCTGTATCACCCAGCAAGGGAGTTACTAATACTTCAGTGATGCGTCTGACTAAACACATTTTGTGCTCGAGAGAAGGGTGTGAGCTGAAGGATCCTCTTGATCCAGGTGTTCTTTCAAAAACGCTTTGTGGTAAGGGAATCTTTCTGGAAGAGGAATGAGAAAGCAAAGGTATTGGGTCCATTCCTTTAAAAAGAGGTAGACTGGGGAGGGGAGGGTGCGAGGAAGTGAGAGGGAGGGTCAAGACAGCACTGGAAGAAGCTGGCTTTGGAGCAGAAACTATGAACTGAAGAAACATGACATTGTATTTCCTTGTGTGGAAAGTCCTGGTAAGAATTTTCACACCTGCAAGTATTGAGTTTGTACTTGACAGCTGGTGAACTGTGACTGCCAGTGGAGCAGTGCACCCAGTAAAGGAAATCCCATGGCTTTCTCCATATCCAACACTGTAGACAGTGCTCCTCTATGCGTTTCCCTCAGGAAAATGCCACCAATCTCTTGCTTCTCATAGGATGGTGTTCTTACCTCAAACCAGTTGTTATCAATTCAGCTGTCCTTCTAAAGCTGTCTTAACTGAATTGGAATGAATTTTGTTCTTATACTTCTTGACATGTGTATGGCAGGTTCAACTTTAAAGAGATTCCAGAAAACAATGGGTTTAACTGAAGTAGTGTTAATTTTCTTCATAGTAGCTGACATGGGGCTGCATCTTGGATTTGTCATGGAAACAGCATTGATAACAGATGTTTTTTTTACTGCTGAGCAGTACCTACACAGATCCAAGGCCTTTTTTGCTCCTCACCCCACTAGCAAGCAGGCTGGGGTTGCACAACAAGCTGATGGAGACACATCTGAGACAGCTGACTCCAAGTGACCACAGGGATATTCCAGGCCATATGGTGTCATGCTCTATATATAAAGCTAGGGGAAGAAGAAAGAAGGTGGGATATTAGGAGTGACAGTATTTATCTTCCCAAGTAACCGTGATGGAGCCCTGCCTTCCCGAGGATGGCTGAATGCCTGGCCATGGGAAATAGTAAACAAATTCCTTGTTTTGCTTTGCTTGTGTGCGTAACTGTTGCTTTCTCTGTGAAACCGTCTTTATCTCAACCCACAAGTTTTCTCACTTCTCTGATTCTCTGCCCCATCCCACTCAGAGGGAAGTGAGCAAGTGGCTGCATGGGGCTGAGTTGCTGGCTGAGTTAAACCACAGTAGTGTTCTTAATGCAGCAGCTCCTTTGACCTGCTGATAATTCACAGTCACATTTATCAATCCAATAAGAGTTTCCTGGAGTTTCCAGGGACACAGCTAGCTCGGTGGTGCTCCATTGCCACCTGAGCAAAACAGGCAGTGGGCCTGTGTGTGCCCACCACAGACTGGCATGGCTCCTTTACCCCCATGCAAGTGCAGTAGTATTTCTCAGCCTATCACTTTTATTGTATAAAACCCTCTCATAATCCCGAAACTCACTCTTTTAATACCCTTATAAGAGTTTGATAGGGTACTAGATTTCAGTGAAAGTTCATTTGCCTTTGTTTTTTTGCTATTGTATTTGTTTCAAAAATCTCTTTGTCATCATTTTCACATTCTGTTTCCATTCAAACAAAGAGCAGCTTTAGATGGGGAAAGAAAAGGTCAGAGGTTATTTAGAGCATGCCAAAGAAAATAAAAGAGTAGCACATATACAAATGTTTTCATCATTCTGGCCTGATTTTGCAATCTGGGACTATGCTCAGCTTTCACTAACATCACAACTCAGGGCATGCATCCCACTTGCAATTGTTTTCAATAGAAGGCAAAGGCAGATAGTTCCTTGAGATACTCAATCCTTTACAGATGCTTTATAGGACCACAGTAACCACAGAAAGTCCACATCCAAACTCCATGTTATTTTCTCTCACAGATCAGAGCAGATTTGTTACTGATTTCAACGGAAACTGTGCTAACTATCTGAGGGAGTATTTAATTCTTCATAACATGACATAACAAAACAGTATGTTGCCATGAAACCCCTTACTGGGGCAGAACCCCACTCCCACACACTGAACCAGAGATCTGCTGTTGCATACTTCATCCCCAATTAACTGATGGAGTTTCCCAGATGTTCAGCACCATGTACCAGTATAAATCGTGCCACTGCTGCTAAACTTAAGAACTCTACTTTCAAGGACCAATGATTTTCACAAGCAATAAAGCTGAACGTATTTAAAGAACATCTACATACAAGGTCAAATACATCCAGTATCCCCTTTGGCAGTGACTGAACAGTGTATGTTGGTGTTTAGGGACTGGAAAAGACCTTTGGAAAGACTTGGAGAAGTTCCTTTATTTTAGGAAAAAGGCAAAATATTTTCTTCCCAAAGCCGATATTTTCAGCCCTCTTATCTCTGCATGCTGAGGTTTTATTTTCTTTCATTTTTCAAAGTGCAACTGCCTATAGAGGTGCAGGATCACGGCAGGACGCTTGCTCTTTCCCTCAGACCTGGGGATATTCCCAGTTCACAAGTTGACCCAGCAAGATCCTGTTTAGGAAGCTGTCAAATTAGTGCACCTGAACCCCATGGCTCCATGTGCTCATTTAAAATGCTTTTTGCTAGATACAGCAGTACAAGATCCAGAACAAAGAGCTCTTACGTATGTCCTAAGAAATTGCATTCTTGAAAGCTGTGCATGGTCCTGGATCTGTATTAAATTTCTCCTAAGGTTTACCATCCAGACATCATGAAATCCAATCTCAAAAACTTCATATGTTCTGGAAGTGGGTCCCATACATAATCATTCACGGTGAATTACTCACCGTGCAAATGTATGTAAATTCATTCCCACCACTTAATCCAGAACCACAGATAGAGCTGAAAGTGTGCCTTGCTGAACAAGGAATATAAAGGAGTGGTGGCTATCTTGCTTAGATTAACTTTACATGCCAGGCACAGTTTGGTTTTTTGATTAATATGATTCTGCGAGAAAAAAACTGAGTGAGTTATGGAGCATCTGTGATGCCTCCTTTATTTATTTATTTTCCAAGGTCCCATAGTTTCCACTTCTTTCATTTACTGGTATTTTTAGTGTGCTCAGGAGTTATTTGGTAAGATATTCAAGATTTCTAGTGGGATTTCTTCATAATGGACAGATTCTTTCTCTTCATAATGATAGCTGAGTTTCTTGAGAGCAAAGAGACACTTTGTTCTTTGTTCTCAAGGAGACAAACTGTTATTTCTTTCCCTGAAGAAGCTTCTAATATGATGGGTGAAATATCAGGAATAATTAGACCAAATGGTGATGTAAATCCCACTAGAAATGGTGCATCCATTATTTCATTTTATGCCTATCGCTCCAGTTTCTGCCTGATTTAAGTCCACGTGAAGAAAGCTGTGGGTATTCCCTTTATAAGAACTACAATAAATTTCTTCATTGAATATTTACTAGCCCTGAGTTGCTCCTTCTTTGTTGGACCATCATTACACAATTAAAAAATAAGAAGGTAATTTAGCTGTTTCAAGGGCTGGTATTGCTTAATTTCAAGGGAGGGGGTTTGACAGTTGAAAGGTTAATGTATTTCACTGATTGGGCCCCTGGGGTTCATTTTCTGAAAAAAAAGCTCTTTCAGTTTTTATTAAGAAACTCATGTAATGAAAAGGGGAAAAGCTTCCCTCACTTGGCACATGTGAGACAGTGGCTGCGGGAGCCCAGGTTTCTCTTCCTGGCTCAACATGCAGTCATCCCCTTTCCCTCCCTTCCCTGGATCAAGGGGAGGGAGGTAGTGCTCTGGGTTTGGCATGGGCTTTGCTGTGTCCTGACCCATCAGCACAGCGCCCCTGTGGAGGGACAAGTCCTGCTGGGAGTGACATGGGGACTGTGTGTCGTCCTTGTCACGGCTCTGGGGATGAGCAGAAGAGCGAGGGGCCCTGAATGCTGTGTGAGCTATGAAAGTCCCAGGAGCGAAGTTGCTTGTAGGTGCCCATCTTGTAGGGCTGGGTGCCATGGACACCCTGTAGTGACCCAGGGGGCCTGTTGGCACAAAGTCCATCTCTTTTGGCTCCAACAGAGTACTCTGGCTTCACAACCCGGCCAGGCTGCAATGTTGTGTTGGTTGACCAGGAGGAACACCTTCTGCCCACCTGTGGCTCAAAGGCTTCACTTGCCTCTGGCCTCAGATCAGAAATGTAAAATGAGTAGAGCACTGTGGGGAATGAGAAGTTAAAAAGAAAACTCTGTCTTCTTTTTTCTTGAGTTTTACCATTGAATCCACCCCCAGACCCTTTCCCTGCAATGCTCCTCTCCTCTACCCCTGCTCGCTGTTTGTTCCTTAGCACGATCTTGAGCAACAATTGACAAGCAAATGGTTGCTTTTTGAAGGTTTAAGCAAATGCAGGGAAATACCCTCTTCACACAATTAAATGCATTCATGCTAACACAGCCTTATGATTCACACACTCACTGAAAAGCTGATAGCGACACGGTGTTTTACAAGATAACAATGCTTCATATGAGCTTGGCATACATGTGCTAACTATTAGTAGGGAGAAGAGATATCAGTTCTATAAATTACTCAGTGTTGGTTATTCCTCACTGCAGTTACCATGAGAAGTTTCTTGAGCCGAGTGTGAGTGGACTAAGTCTTTCCCATTAGGTAAGTTAGCATGCAAGTGGTATTGTTTGACATAATTTAACTTGCCTGATTTTAATATCTGCATCAGAAGACTATAATCCACTATTTGCAAAACTTCCATAGTGCTGATGTCTCTGGCTGATATTTTTATTTTAATGAAATCCCTGAAACTCAACATTTATAGGCACAATGAGGCAATAAAAATATAAAATAGAAATAAAATAATTTGCTTGGGCTGGAAAATTCTGAACATTGCAGAAAGGCTTAACAAAATAAAACAAAAATGTCTCTGTCTTCAAGCATCTAGAAGAATTGTAAGAATGTCCCTTTATTGTCTTTTTTTTGTACCCCCTATAAAAATTGTTTCCCTCTCAGCCCCTAATGAGATGTTTTTAGCAGCTTGTCTATCCCAAATTACCATGTGAGATGGGCATTAGGAGTACTGTGGTTTTAGCTTGGGGAGTTGTGCTGGGGCTGGAGTCTGCGTGCGCACTGGGGAGGGAGGCAGGGTCGGAGCGCTGCCTTTGCTGCCGGGGACTCTCTCTCTGCTGGCTTTTGCTTATTGATATGATTTATAGATTGAAATGGTTTCAGAAACGGGGGGAGAAAAAGTTCTGTCTCTCACCTACAGTGAAGAATTTGTATTATTTTATTTTAACAAAATTAAATTGCACAGAAATGAATGAGAAAAAATATATTTTATTAAAGAGAGAGAAAAACCCCTGATGACTTAAATAAACATAAAAGTAACCAAGAAAACAGAAGAACAGGCATATCTACACATCCAGTTGAAAAACACTTTCAAAATTCATGCAGATATTTTGAAGTTAATACCTTTCTGATTTCTAGTTTGGCTGTACTAGATTCATGGAAATATAATGCCTTTGTTTTCTGTAGCCTGAGCTTCAGAAAAGGATTGCAGTTACATGGAGAAATCCCATATCCTGCTTATCTTTCTTCCATAGATGTGATGGTGTTCTAAAAATAAATATGTTAAAATTCAACATATCCATAATCCTGGAAAAATTAGTTGTAACTAATGGATAATGATGACCTGGTTAATTAATGGAATAAACAGAGAACCAAGATAAAGCTGTGATAAAGTTTGGTAATGAGCCACATTCAAAGAAACCAGATGCCTATATGTACATGTAATACAAGTGAGTGTTTTTTTTATAGTTGTTGGTGTTAATTTTAGAAACTGTTAAACACCCTGAATCGGATGACTGAAGAAATGCTTGTTCCAAACGGTGAGCTGTCGTCCCTGGCTCTCATCTCCACATCCAGTGAACAGAACCTAGGAAGAAACTGTTATAAAATCCAACCAAAGATATTCCACCTTTTCCTGCAGCCCTCCACTCACCATCTCAGTGCAGCAGGAATCTTGAACAGCTGTAGAAAAGCCTGTTTTTCAAGCTATCGCGAACCCAATTTTCTCAAATAAAAATAATTTGGGTTTTGTCTTCTAAAAACAAAAAAAAAAAAAAAAAAAAAAAAAGGAAAAAAGGAAACACCACAGCTTCAAAGTTTTGAAATGAATGTACAGGAAAAATATAGCTTTTGTTCATATTTTTAAATACAGTCTAAATAACGTCTGAAGAAATAGTTACTACAGCTTTAAATATCGGTTGCCAAGTGGTAATTATATTGTTTAATTTTAAGTCATACGATAGAGTTATACCACCTGACACTGCAAACATTACGCACAAACACTTTTTGTTATCATGAGAGAATGTTATTTTAAAATGTAAAAAGCATCTTTAAAAGCAAATTAAAAAATCTATTTTTATTATGGATGTGAACTTATCTCCTTTTCTGAAACTTATGGGGAGCTCTGGATTGCACTGCCAACTCATCGTGGTGAATAACCCCTAAATTTAGCTTTATAGAGTAAAATATGTTTATATAAACATATTACTCTATTGATACAAAGCTAAAAGTTTTTTATGGGTATTAGAGTTAAATCAACTATCAGTTTTCTTCTAGGGAACTTCTGGTAGGAGAGGAGCTTCTCAAGGAGTAATCTTCTGTAAATCTGCAAAAACAGCAAATAGGTAAGGCAGCAAAATTGCTTAAGAATGGTAAACATTACCTTAAAATAAAATGGAAATCCCCAATAATCTAAAAGGCTGGCATGTTAATAATGCTTGAAATAGTTTATGATCTGAAATGTAGCTATGCATTATTCTGCCCTTCCCTCCTGGTTATGGAGCTGTTGTTTACAGAGTGCCAGGGGCATTTCTGTCTCATTATCAAATACATAAATAGAAGAATATGCATTTAGTGGGGGATCTATTTTATTGTCAGTCTTCCCTTCCCCCCTCCACCTTACACACTCATGATATTTCTTGATGTTTTCCCCTCCCTTCTGCAGCCTGTATATTTCTACAAAACTGTGTAAAAAAAGCATAAAACAAACAACATCTTCAACTAAAAGGGTACAATTTCTAAAGCAGGAGCTTTTTATTTAAAGCTTTGGAGAAACATTCATACTTAAGACCTTTCTCTTTTTTCCCCCTCTACGTGAAGCATTTTTTTATGTAAGCTTATAATTTCCTTTAAAAGCTATGTTTAATACTTGCCCTTTTTATTTTTAAATGTTCGGAGGGGGGGAGGAGGTATCTTTAATGCTAAGCTGTGCTGTGTATTTTTTTAGGAACTAGGATCCAGCTCCTGGGTGACTCAGTGCAGAGGCTCCTGAGGAAAGTCAGGGAAGCCAGGAGCATTCACTCCAGCATTTGCCCCAGTGACAGGAGTGGTTCCATTCCCATTTCTCAGGCCATGGGTGCTGTAAAGGAAACTGAAATGTCTCTGATGGAGCCTTATTTGAGCAGGGAGTGCAGAAGCCAGATTGTAATGCTGGGCTGGATTCAGAGACACCCCCAAGACAGTGGGCTCAGTGCTCAAGGGACGCTGACTCTGACCCCAGTGACTCTGTTCCTGGAATACTCAGCCTGGTAAATACCTCAGGCCCAGGAAAAAAATATGTTGAAGAAGAGTATTTCTCTGAGGAAAGACTAATGGGATCAGACCCTAAATTATTATCCTCATGATATCTCATAGATCAAACTATGGAAAATGTGGGAAGATAATTATTTTATATATATATTTATATATATATATATATATAAAATATATATATATATGGTTTTAAGTTTAGAAAGTTAATGTCTCTCAGGTATTTTTTTTAAAGCAGTTTTTATGAATATTGAATGCTGTAAATGAAGCACAAAGCAAAAGCTGGATTTCATTTGTTCTGTTTTCGGTAAAGGATAAGGATTTTTTTGAATACTGGAGTTATTTCAGTTTTAGGAATGTAAAAACTAATGAAAAATCGTTTTCTTTCTGGTAGGTCGTGTATTCAATTGCCTCTCAATGGGAAGTAAACGGAGTCAAGAGTGTTTTTCTTCGTTACTCTGAATGTCTACTGTCCTTTATTTGTGAAAATAAAGATAAGGATGCTGTAACATAGTATTTGGAGGAAAACATAGAATAAGGTTTGAAAATAAGTACATACCTGAAAGCAATATATCAATATGAATTTAGCCTACAGGAAATCTTTACTCCTCTTTTTAGAATATTTTTTATGATAGGTGTTCAGAAAAAATAGTATATGAGTAGAGAAGTGACTGTGACAATACGCTGTAATTCTTAGGTTTTTTGCTTGTCTCGACGAAAGGTTCCACATTTGTTTAGGTTTCGTATGCGTGCGTAAACCAGACCACATCTATTTGTATATCTCACTCTTGCTTTCTTAAATGATTTGCCTGCTTTCCCCTTAATTTTAGCTTGATATATGCATTAAAAACCCCCAAACCAAACCAACCAACCAAAAAAAAAAACAAAAAAAAAAAAAACCACAAAACCCCAAAGAAGTGTTTTCTTTATATGGTTAAACTTGTTAGCCTGGACCTCGGGAATGATAAACAAATGATAAGTGCGGTACTTTATCTAGGCAGACACATTCGGCTCTCGTTGTGCTGCACTGCCACCTTCCGTCCCCCCGGCCCGGGGCCGCCGCCGCCCGGCCCCGCCACTCCTGCAGCTCCGGGGAGAGATGGATTCATAGGTCTCCAAGAGCTTTCATTTCTATAATTCTGCTTCTATATTGACAGGCCCTTTACAAATAATTTGTTAGGAGAATCTCTGCATTAGCTGTATCATGGGGTTTTTATTATTATTATTATTATTATTATTATTATTATTTTAAAGTAATTCTTGTTTTCAGTGTTTTAAAAATATTTGGCCCGAAGCTATTTATTCCCCTTAGACGGCCATATGGAAAGTTTGATTGCTGCTATTTATATTCTAAAAGAATTAATGTGTTTCAGACTGCTCCCTTTCACAGCAGCCCAATCCCAAGCTGAAGGAGAAGCATCTGGCACAATAGAAATTGTCACACCACAAGGCTGCAACTTCGACTGGTGAGACAAGGCTTCCCTTGGATGTGCAGATCACAGAGAAGAGACTGTTTAAAAGGACACTGCAGCTACAAGGCAGTGGCACAGCCATGCTGTTGCAGGCGATGAGGAGCCTCGATCTGCGGGAACCAAAGGCAAAGAGAAACACACTCCCCTGGTGCTAAACTCATTGTGTGTGTGGCCAGAGCAACCTTTGCTTATTATATTTTGAGAGGAAATCCCTTAAACACAGTGCCCGCTCAAGTCCAAGGCCGGTGACACTAGTGGGGGTTCCCCAGGTCATGTCTCATAATGGGGAGGTGGTCAGAAAGGAGGGGTGCTGGATCAGAAGGTGGTTGTTCGTGGGCTGCTGTCACAGCTCCCGGCTGATCCCTCCAACAGCTTTGGTCCAGGTGCTCTCCAAAAGCACAGTCCTCTTCACCACAGCCTTTGCTCTTTACTTATTGACTCCTCCTGCCAGTGGCTCTTTGATTTCAGGAGGCCGAGCGGAAGGAGAGGCAGAGGAAGGCTGGAGAGGAATGGGAACTCTTCAGCACAGGAGGTGGACCGTGTTTCTTTCATCTTTACCAAAGAGGAAGGAAAAAGCCTCAGGAGGGTATTCCCAGGGAGGAAGTAATTCCCTTTTCTTCCACCCAGCAGGAGGGTGCATCCTACCTTCAGCTCTCTGCTCCCTGGCTCCCCAGGCCAGCGGGGTTACATGCTGCCAGTTCTGACCACACCACCCCAGAACTCCTCCATGCTGAGCAGATTTAAAGGTCCTCACAGCCCCTTTGGGGTTTTAACAAGACTCACCACCCACTGCAGACTCTGTGGGATGGGCTGGGGATCGACACATGAGCTCCCCAGCACGTGCAAGCACGCCAGCTTTGGGTGCTGGGACCCTGCCTCATGTTGTCATTCTCATTTTCTGAATAGTAAAAGAAAGCATCAATGTACCCCTGCCCAAGGCAAATCCTGGCAAAAAGCCATTGTTCTTCATACCAGGGGTTGGTTTCAGCATCAGAAACTTGGAGAATGGAGGGGATAAACTTGATTTATCCTGACCCCCTCTCCTCTAGAACAGAGCCTCTGCCAACAGCAGTAGCAGCAACAGCAGTATCAGACAGCTGTGAGTTCACCTCCCACATGAAGGCATTGCTTTGCTGCTTACAGAAACATTATTGTTACATACTAATTTCAGGTGGAAGAACTCATGTGTGGGCAGGCATTTCTCCCAGCATTAGAAGACCCTTTTAAAACAAAAATTAAAAAATCCCAAAACATAGAGATGGCTCCCATGCCTGTTAGGTATCTACAACCATGCCTTGGCTACTACTGTTGAGAATCCAGGATTTTTCTGACACCCAATTAAATTAGTGTAATTGGGATAGAGTTGCAATTTCTTTGCCTCCAGCTGTGAGTCATAATCTGTTTAGCACCTGAGTGCTATTTCACTTTATTTTTAGTGCTTAGGCCATAGTTTGGAAAGGGAAAAAGCAAACCTACATGTCAGTCAGGATTTTGGGAAGGTGTAGATTACTTATCATTAATTTAAATGTGGCATTTAAATGTCCATTCACAGGTGGTTTTAATGCTTTTATTAACTTCTTTTTTGGACTTTGTAAGGAATACATTTGAAAAAAGAAATGCCAAGGACCTTGAACTACAGGCCATGCCAATAATACATTGCTGTTACTACATCATGGGGAAAACTGTAAAACAAGAGAAGAGGTTCCAATGAGGGGAAAAAGAGAACTTTATTATAATAAGGAATGATAACAAAAATGAAGGAAAAAATTATCAGTACCTGGTCTTGTTTGGGCTACCAGTTCAGCCTACAGTACATTTTGAAATGATGAATTGGTTGGAGAGAAAAACATATTCCAGATGGTTTTTGTCTTCGTCTCCAGTATTTACTCCATCAGGCTTTATTCAGAGCAATTATTCAATGGAAATAAATGATATACCAAGTGATATAAAAGAGAAACTAGTACTGGGGAAATAGCTCAGGATAAAACACAAACTAACCAGAAACTTCATCTTCAGTTCAGATCCTTGGTTATGACTCAAACCAACCAGCCTCAGAAAAATGCCTCTGAATAGTGGTTGATGAAAACTGTGGGCAAAAATAATTGTGATGGATTGGGAAACCAAGGCCACAAAAGTGTTGGTGTACTGGGGCTGGGAGAAGAGGGGCAGAGAAACACCTGCCCCCTGCTGAAGTGGGGCAGAGAAACACCTGTATGAACCTGCTGTGTCCTGTTGTGTGGGGGTGGACACCGGCCTCAGCTTTGCTGGGGTCAGTGCTTGGAGACCAGTGCTGTGGAGCAGAGGGTGGAAGGCTAGGAAGCAACAATGCTGGGCTGGCTCCAAGGATGTGGGAAAAGGGTCTCTCCTGCCATGGCCAACGTAGCATTACACAAGAGACCTTAGTGCCAGATCCTCTGATTCATCCCCAACCTAAAGAGGTTTCATCTGAAATGAAGATTTACGGGCATCGGAGATGGAGTAAGTCATTAAGGTAAACATAACGTATTGACTAATAGGACATGTCTAGTAGTGTCCCCACAACCAAAGTGGGAATAACAGCAGGGCCATGCCCCTCCACATTGTCTGTTACACAAATAACAAATTTCACAACTCCTCAGGCAACTTATCTAAAGGGATGTTTATTTTCGCAAAGCGAGACTGAATGTCTTAAAAAAAGAGCCCCACCTCATCTTATCCATCTATCTACACTCTCCAGGGTGAGGTTTACTTTAAAAACAAAATAGTCGAAAGGTAATTGCGCATAAGTTTAGCCTTAAGATATTTTAGTGACGCTTAGAAGGTGTGGAACAAAACCCCTGTCACTAAGTTGATGCCTCTAAAATATCTGCCAAAACAGCTCTTTAAAAAGGTATTTGCACCTTTATTTAGTTCCTTCTTGTGAGGAATGTTTACTGCAGTCCGTAGATGTGGTTATGTCATGTTTCCACTGTGTTTTCATTCAGTGTTGCTCTGTATTTGTGGTTTTCTCATTTGTGACAGTCTAGTAACTGGAGCCATTTGTACCTGAGCAAATAATATCAAATCTGAATACTTTATAAATATTTACAATATTTGGTGTGTCTCCCACTCACATCAAATGCAAGGTATAAAAAGCAAAAACAAACAGAAACAAACAGAACCTGTGTTACGTTATAATAAATATTTACTGTATGTACTATTGACTAAAGAGTCCCATACAGCTATTTAGGAGGCATTGTTTCTGTCAGGCTGTTCTATATTAAAACACTCTAAATGAAGCTGTTTGAGAATAAAAATGTGCATGTTAGGGAGTGATTGATGCATATGACTTATTTAATTTTTCTGGCAAGGGGAAGTGGTTCTTTTTTTCTCCCTGCACATGTGGGTAGTGAATTAGGCAGGAGCCTGGGACTTTCTGCCACAGCTGCAGAATTCATTGGAGTGAGGTCCCAGTGCAAGACTAGGGGGGAACGCAACCCTTTGGGCCTACTGGTTTTAAGCAGAAATTTCAATTGCAAACAATCTGCACTGAAGACAGGGCAGGCAGTGGCAGAGCAGCAGCCGTGTTCCTCATGTAACAAAGCCAGCCTGAAAACAGGGAGGAAAGAAATGTAAGGTTCATAGAATCATAGAATCATTTAGGTGGCAAAGGACCTTTAGGATGACCGAGTCCAGTCATTAACCCAGCACTGACAAGCCCACTACTAAATCATGTCCCTAAATGCCACATCCACACAACTTTTGAACACTTCTAGGGATGGTGACCCCACCACTTTCCTGGGCAGCCCATTCCAATATCTGACAACCCTTTTGGTAAGGAAATTGTTCCTAATATCCAATCTGAACCCCCACCTAGCTACAACTTCCTTTAAGGTAGTTTCAGAGAGCAGAAAGATCCCTTCTCAGCCTCCTTTCTCCAGGCTAACAAACCCCAGCTCCCTCAGCTGCTTCTCTGGACTTGCTCCAGCCCCTCAATGATCTTTCTGAAATGAGGGGCCCAGAACTGGACACAGGATTTGAGGTGTGACCTCTCCAGTGCCAAGTACAGGGGGACAATCCTGTTCCCAGTGGCCACACTATTGCTGATACAGGCCAGGATGCTTCTGGCCTTCTTGGCCACTTGGGTACACGCCGGCTCGTACTCAGCTGCTGCCGACCAGCACCCCCAGGTCCTTTTCCTCCAGGCAGCTCTCCAGCCACTCTGCACCCAGCCTGTAGCACTGCAGGGGGTTGTTGTGACCCAAGTGCAGGACTCAGCACTTCGCCCTGTTGAACCTCATCCAACAGGCTTCAGTCCATCACTCCAGCCTGTCCAGATCCCTCTGTA